CGTTGGCGAGACGCACCCCACCGGGCAGAGCACCGCGCTCCCCGCCTCGCCTCCGCGCCCAGGCCCAACACGGGGACAGAAAACCCGTCTCCAGAGAGCCCTGCCCCGAGACCCCAAAGAGCCAGGTGCCCAGGGCAGACAAAGACCCCACAAGACAAGGGAACACCAACCTCTCCCCGGCAGGCCGACCTCGCTCCGCACCCCTGCCTGCCTGCCGCAGCTCCAGACTGAGCCCCTGCCCTCCGCGAAACATCTGGAGCCTCAACAAAAGCTGCCGTAGGGATGAATGGGCCGGATTAGGGTCTGCTCCCCCTCGCACACACCCCGCTGGAGACCATTGATGTGCAGATGCCCATGGGGCCGCCTGCACCAGCGCCTGGGGGCTGAAACAGGCAGCCTGGGAGGAGGCCACCCCGAGCAGCCCCTGGGGCCGGGGTGCAAATGCCTGCCCACTGCAGGAATTGCAGGCGGAGGGTGGATGGCAAGCTTGCCAGGGGCAAGGAATATGCAGCAACAGGCTCAGGCTCTGCAAGGGCCGGGGAAAGGCCAGCCCCAGGGAGCACGGCCACCCTAACCCGCTGGGGGACGCAGGCGAGCCCCCATGGCAGCAGGCACGGCACCCAAGGGCTGCACTCCTTTTCCTGGCAGAGAAGGGGCTCCCTGCAAGCAGGGCCCAGCACTGCCCTGCTTTTCCACCCTACGGAGCAGGCCAAGGGCGGGCACGGCAGGGAAGAGGGAGCTGACGCATGGAACACAACAGGCCCAGGCACCCCTTCTCCCTGCCACGGCCACGAGCCGTGCTGGACCTGGCAAGGTCTCCGCATGCTGCTGCCAGACTGTCTCCTGTCCCACAAGCCAATCTCCACCCCTCCTGCCTGTCCTGGGCACCCCCCAAACTTTGCGTCGAGCTCGTGGCATGAGAAGCAGGGGTGAGGCACGATGAGGGAGGTCAGCCAGCACCGAGCAGTCTGGGAAGCTGAGGGACGGGAAAGGGACTTTAGCAAGAATGAAGGAGAGAGAAGGTGGTGGCACAGCACAGCACAGCACCCCTCCTGCTCCTGCTTGCCCCTGTGGCCCCTCCGGCTGGGCCTCACTGCAGGGGACAGCACCCTGTCCCCAACCTGCACATCAGCACGCTCCCGGGACGGCAATTTTGGGGCACAGGATGGGAGCAGCGGCAGGCCAATTGCCAAAGACGCTCCCGGAGGTACCCAAGGACACCATGCATCCCCCCATAGCACCTCCACCCCTCTCCCCCTCTCACCTGGCCCCTCACCTGCCCCCCAGGAGGCTATTCCCTTACCTGCCTTCCCCCTTCTCCTCCTCCCCAGCCGCCTGGCAGCCCACTGCTGCTGCTCCCTCCCGGGTCTGCCGCTCCCCGTCCTCCCTTTACTCCTCCCTTTCAGATCTGACACTTCC